TGTTACCCCTGGCAACCAATCACTGTACCAATAAATACTGATGTGGGGCTTTACTTGTGACCTCACAGATCACAGGAATGCTGGGGGATCCCCTGACCCCCCATCCTTTAAAACTATTTTTTCATCTGTGTCTTCTTTTATTTCTATATTCTGTATTTTTATCTCTATTATTTCCATATCCCTTGCAACGACCCCTGCCAAAGGGACCCAATTCATGCTGGGAGCGTAGCTGACTGCCCGCAAATTTGAATGCAATCATGGATTGAGGAAGAAGAGTCCCTAGGCAGCAAGGTGGCTGGATTGAAGGTGGCTACCACTTTCAGAGTTACATTAGGACTCTCTGACAAAGCAGGCTGGTATTTACTCAAGTGGCCAGCCCTTACCAGAAGCCTCCCTTACGTTCTAGTAAGGGCAATACATAATGCATGGTGTGAACGGTCACTGGTTGCCAAGGGTAAACTTTTCAGCTTCCCATAAAATATCACAGGTAACAGCGACCCCTCTCAAACAGGTTGGCCGTCCTTTTGCTACCACATCCAATTGCTCAGAGAAATAAGCTCTTTGTTGCTTGTGACCCCAACAGTTTGTGTCAGTACCTTTGTCTACACCTTACGTCTATGTCCTTGGTCAAATGTTTCCCAAAAGGAGCAAAGCTTTATTGTTTTTCATACAATTACATTTCCTGTTAACAGGGAAGAATGAACATACAGCTCATACAGCTAAAATTGTATTAAAATAATCCCAGGCCCCCAGAGAAAATTAAACTTCCAATGTAACTTTTGCCTTTAAGATTTTTAATAGGGAGATCTTTTTTTTTGGCCACAAGAGGGCAGAAAAGGGCTTTTGAATACATATTTTATATAGTATTTAAAATCTGATACTGGTAGCATTCTTTATTTTTAAAGAAACTTCTGGGCCTTTTCTTTAAGCGTACACAAGAGAAGGAACTACAAGCATAGCTTTTCAATTAGGCAAAATTCTTCATCTTAACGATTTTAACAGTTCGTAAGATACTAGTCATTCAACATATTTCTTCAATGAATAAGTGAATGGCTTAAAACTGATGGACATTTTAAAACAATACCATTTAACGTAGGTGCTTGAAACAACAGGAAGTAGGAATCTCACCTTTGATTGCTTTAGGT